TTCGGCCTTTAGTCGGCTTATTTTAGTACCTATCCGGTAGATGGAACCTGGTGCGATAACCTATTATCCAAGCGTTGTAGTAATCTTTCATTAATACCACAGAAACCATAGGTTTTATGTTTTTTTTTTTTTTTTTGATACATAAAAAATATTTTAAAGTAATTAACTTTATATTATAATAATTAATAAAACATATAGACAATAATTAAAAATATGGTACAATTCATCGTACGGCTTCGCGAACAGTTATCGGCGAAAAAAAAACTCATGTACAAAATATCCGACTTTTGCTATCCCCAAAGACCACTGTTGATATCCGCTTAAGCTGCAACTCATTTGCACACATTTACCTTTTTTGTAACTCATTTGCGCACAAAAACACAATTCGTGTGTGCATAATTTACGAACAATAGAAACCTTTTTTTCAGAGAAACTTAACCACGTATAAGATGTACATAACCAGCGTACCTCTCCAAGTTTTCGAATTTGTTATGACTGATGGTGAAAAATTATACTCTTACAATATTTTCTTTCAATCTTTATAAGACCTAACACTCTTTGTTTAATCATATTCTGGTTTTATAGGCTGGCGGGCTTAATGATGCTATTTGAGCTATTTAATTTATCACAACTTTAAATAAATCATTTTTATCACAGTTACAATCATTTTTACAACCAAATAATTAACATAATTCAATAAATAATATAATCAACAATAATTATAATAAATATCCAAGTCATTAAAAAAAAAAAAAATATATATATATATATAGTTTAAAATAAAGTACTTACATATTTATTATTCATTTGATACGCGCTTGCATTGAAAATGTTAAAATATCAATTTTTGTACGTTTTTGATCAGATTATTTTTTTTTGTATAGTTTTGTTTTTTAATATTTCTTTTCTACGGGTGTTTTTTTGTTTTTTATTTTTTATTTATTAAATTAATTTTTAAATTAATATTGACTTGAATTTCTATTAATACTTGAATAACTAATGAAATGTAAGGTGAAATCTAATGTAAAATTTAATGTGAAAACCGAACTTGGAGTATCGTTCAGTAATATCGTATCGGTGCGTTTGATGATCATATAAAATCATTTCAACAATTTTATTGGTACCGCAGCAGTGATAAAATTTTGAGACAAAAACCAAACCATCTAAATATTAAAATATTATGTATGTGTCACTTGCGTGTTTCGGCTTTAAATATATTTCAATAATAATTATTTACATAAGTAAAATATAACACCTATAATTTACTTCACGTGCATCATTTCAATTTTAATTATATTAGTAAATGAACTATAATATAATTGATGGAACAGATTACCAATCACAATCACTAGAGAATAACAATCTTTATGATAGTTTAAAAATCATATTATATAAACGATAGATATTATTAATCATGGTGTGTAGACATCGGACATTGTCCAAACAAAAATGTCTAAAATAAATATTGTATATTATGTATATTATGATATAAACATGAGAAATTTTTCGTGATATTGTGCGTGAGAAAATCGATTTATTATTATTTCGTAAATCTATCATGTATAATCTCGTAAGAGATAAAAAAAAATAAAAAAATATTTCCGACAAAAACGAATCTAATAATAATAACGACGGAGACGAATAATTTGTGAAAAACTTCAGTGATTTATGGGCAAAATGCGATTCTGTCTTTGTATTTTCTGAAAGAGCTGTTATATACATGTAAAAGTTATAATAATGCTATTTTTATGTGAACGATGTACCTATATATTACGATCACCGCCGCCGCCACCGCTGCCGTTTGTTTTCATCATAAAAGGTAGTCGAAAAAATCATTGTATATTTTCTATATTGTTATTAATGTAATAATTCGTCCTGAAATAATTCGAAAAAATTGCTTGAATGTAATCGGTATAGAAAAAAACACATCGAACGTATAGCGGTTACGACCTATTACTTTGGAAATTACATACGCGTGAAAATAATATAATTGAAATCTTATCGATAAAATTAAGACCACTTTCAAACGTATGATCATGGCATAATATTCCATCTGCAAAAAATTGTTTACCCCCATCGTGTCGCAGGTGATTACCAGCACCATGGTATACATGCGAGTGTTATTCTCACTTAAAAGATGTCGAAGCAATAATTGCGACAACTGGTGTGGTCACTGATGAGAAGAAACCCGTAAAACCCAATAGCGTTGTACTAACTCTTCCCATTACATCTAGCGGTGAGTTTTAAGTTTAAAAAAAAATCATTATTTGGTTTTTGGATCTCGTGATCTTAAATTTTGGATTTTACATATTTTCCTCGGCGTTTTTGTGCAAAATCAACACTTTTCATTTGTCTGACATATTACACAGATAACATATATAGTTATATGCTATATTATATTGTATTCAAACGGTGGGCGATGGTAAAATGTTTTGTCACAAATACCTCATAAAATATAATTTGTTTAGACGAACACTTGACAACGGCCACGGTGCCCTTTTTGTCATTTGCTGTTTACAGGAGCGGATCTAGGGGATAACAATAAAGAAAATCAGCCCTCCTCCTCCCGTTAAAAATATTCTTATAATTTAGGGCTTTTTAGACTTACTAGCCACGGTTTAAAATTTTTAAGTATATAATGACCTTAATTAATTAAAACATATTTTAAATTATGGCACATAACGTAGCTATATAACTTGATATGTAAGTTATTTAAATTACACAAATCACACTTTTACTCATATTATGATCTAAATGTATCGATGGAAAAATATCAATTCCGTTTTTCGGGCCTGCAGTTTTCTTTTTTTCATCTGAGATAACGTAGCATTATAATATGCGCATAGAAAAAACTTGCATTTGATAGCAAGTAACGCGGAAAAAAAATATTTTATTTTATATGTAACAATCTCTATGTTTAAAGCCGAATTTCCGTTGTTAGTTTTTATAATATTTTATTTTATAGACGGATAAAATGCTACATACTTTAATCGTATTCTTGCATTCCTTTAACACATTGGCAGTCAATATGAAAAGAATTCTTAACGGTAAACCATGGCTGTTGTTGTTGGTTTATTTTTCTAATTTTTAAAATTCTTAAGTTACCACTGGATAATAAACAGTTTATAGGCTATATTTATTCATTCAATATATAAAGAAATGTATTTCCTGAAAAAAATAAATAAATAAATACAAAAATATTTATAGCGTTTTTAAAGATAAAATACTATAAAATTATAATATAATATGCTAGAAATTATCTATATTTATAAAATAAGTACGAAACTTTTTGATACCTAATGTCATCAATTTATTTGATACATCCTTTGGTATTCCGGCAATGATTTTTTTGTACTAGATAACATTTTTCAAATCAGGATGAATAAGTAGGTACAGTAAAAACACTTGTTGATAAAGATACATACATATTTATTAAATAACATTTTTTTTTTTCAAAGACAGAGGAATGTTAATAATACTGATTTATTTTTCCTAAAGATAATTAAACAACAATATAGTCAATGAAAATACATTATACAAATACATTTAAATTTCATGTTCATATAATATATTATTCTTAAACATATATCATATATTATATTAAGTACTATCATTTTTTGTTTTGTTTTGTTTTTACAAAAAATTATTTAAATTAGTGATCAACATTGGTTGATACATAATATTTTATGTATACTATTGAAATTTTACATATTATTTAGGAAAACAATAGCTTTTAATAGTATGATTATCTGTTAGAGTTGCACGGAAATTTAAAGAAAACTGTTCATTTTTTGGCTTGAATGTAATAGAATATGTTTTAAATATGTGCTATTAAAAACTAGGATCTTATTATAAATAATATTTTTATTTTTTTTACAAAATGTTTTAGACCAAAAAGTATTAGAGATTGATTGTCTCTTAGCAACGTGGGCAATTTATTATACCCTCCATGTAATATTATTATTTACACATAATTTTATGCCACCCTTTGAAAAGTGCTATTTTATCATTTTCGTCATCATGTGACTGCGATCTAAATTAAATTACTTCGTAAATAAAAATAAAGGGGTAAAAATTAACATCGAGGAAAGAATTTTTTTGGAATGATCTAAGAAAAATGTGACTATACTATTTTTATGATATGCAAATTCAAAAAATATAATTATGTACATATCACACATGTCTTAAAATAAAAAGGAAATAAAAATGAGGATATTTTTAATTTATAACAAAAATTTAAGTACCCATGTATATACTTATAAATTATGTATATTATATATACTATGGGAGCACCATGTTTGCCATTTTTTCATGCAACGAACACATGGAAAACGAGGAAACACGGTGGTCCACAACCATACATGATGCATATCATGGTTACTTATTTGTAAATAATTTTAGATAAAATAAAAATGATATTGGCACCACTTTATTTCAAATTGCACGTTAAATTAATTTATATTCCATATAAATACGATTTATTGCATTTTACACGAGCTCAGCTAATCCATTTTTGAGCTTAATATATATTGAAATCATATATTTATTATTAATTTTAATTATGAATTAATAATTAAATCACAAAATTTAAAAATTACACTGGGATAGTAGTAGAGAAACTAGAAAATATATGTACAATATAAATAAATCAACGTAATGATGATTTGATCGAAAGCCAAAAAATCGAAACCACAATGAATTTAAAAAAAATAAGACGTTGGTAAACTTCTTAAAAATATTTTAAAACCAAATACCCCACAAATCATTGTGGTCATATTCATTAGGACTACTTGGAAAGACTTTGGAGTGAGTTTATGTCAAGTTCATGTATTATATCACTACTGTTAAAAAAATGTACGATATTTAATAATAAGTAATAGAAATAAAGTGGATAGAGCATAAATAAATAACGTATAATTTCAAATGCATATCCAACAATATTTTCAAATATTAATTCAATAAATATAAAGAATTTCATATAAAAATTATTTTGTAAATATTTAAACAAAAATAAAAATTAAATTAAATAAAAATAATATAATATATTTATACTCATAAGAAATGTTTACACTCATTTGCGCGTGCGTGTGTTTGTGTGTTCGATCGTTAATATTTTCGGATAATATCCTCAATCTTATACAAAAGTATTTACAAAGAAAATGAATTCAAAATTGTATACTTATATATATTTAAGTAAGAAGGTATACAAGTTTATGAGTCACAGAAGAAGTAGTTTTTAAATTAATTTTTTTTTCCTAGGAATAACTATTTACCAACTAGGTTTTATAAATCAATTTCCACGACTTTCGCTTCATTATAATACTCGTATATTAACACTTTTGGAAGACATAGTGTGTTAGACTGTTAGAATGTTGTGGTTAAGTTAGGTCTTTGTCATTATAGTAGATTTATGTTGGAAAATCTTCATCGGGAATCGTTTGGAAAATAAATCGATTTTTGAAAAAAATACATTGAATATCGTTCGATTATGAGCAACTTTGACCATAGGGGATATAAAATATGTTTTAGCGTATTTTTATTTGAAACTGTATTAAGTATATCATCAAAACAACATCACCTACACACGCAGTACGCACTATAACAGTTGCTGGTTAGGTTTGGTTAGGAACAAGTTGGAACAAATGAACTCGATCCCGTTTCAATTCACCATATAATACATCGGTCACTTGACGCGTATTAGGTGACCACCAATTACCGAGTTCGGACACCAAACATGGGCGGTGAATGGGATTAAATTACGCGTGATTAGTATATTAATGCAGTCTTATGAAATATTATAATGTAGTGTATTGTTATGCACTTATTTTCTGCGTTCATGAATATGAACATTAAGACATTAAGTATATATATATATATTTATGTAAATATATATACGATTATATTATATAGGTAACAAAATAGTCCTGGAAAGAGGGATCGATAGAAACCGGGATAGAAGGAACAGTGTATATTTATTTTTTTTCGGCTGCGTGTACACACTACTTACACATAATGACATAACCATTGTCCATATCATCATTGTCATCATTATATTACCGGGATGTAACCGAGATTTTTACGTTGCAGAAACAGATGTATTTCCGAGAACTTTGGCCTATCCGAGTCGCTGCGCTTCCAGCACTCGGCCATGATATCGTACATTTCGCGAGGACAGCTGGGTGGCGGTTCCACGTACCTGTGTTTGCTATTAGCCAGGTACATGTGGTTAGCGTTTTCCACCACCTGTTCGTTGGTCATCTCCGCCAGAGGCTGGTGACTGCAAAACATCAGTATCTCCCACAGAGTGACTGCGAATGACCAGACGTCGCTCTTTGACGTATACTTGCCCTAGAAAAAAAACCACGGCACACGAGTAAAAATTTGTATCTTTTCGCGGCGAAGACTACATTATAAAAATTATTATTACGGACGACAGCGTGTGATATTTTTAGGCAACGTTAAAATTCCGTCCGGAATAATAAATTCCTAATTCTTAAATTCCTACACTACTACTATATGTCTAATTGCATCGAAATATCAACGCCTTTGAAAGCTATACATTATTCGAACCCTTGGGTTGTCGGGTATTTTATTTAATGCATTACAGTTTATTATAGTATAACATCCGAAAAAAGTAGAGTGAAATCTTTATTATTTTTATGGAAATAAAATTTTTTTATTAAAAGTTTCGATTAAATTAGATTTTTAAAACTTTATGTAGTTAAAAAAAAAAAATCGATATCGAGAAGAATTTTGTTAATACATGTGTATATATATATTTTTATATTATAGGTATAGTATTAGTTTCCGATTAAAATGTGAGAACAATATAAATAGACTATAATAATAAAAAAAATTTAATTCAATTTTTAATATGTAACTACAATAAATTTAATATAAAATCGAAAGAAAGCTGAAAATGCTAAATATATTTTATTATTTTTCTAACTTTTTGAATAATATTTTGCACAGACTATTTATTTATTATTTACTAGCTGAAATACCCATCGTTGCCGGGTTTAAGTATATGAATGTATGTAACCTGCCAAGATTAAATTTTGTTAAATCTATTGAAATTTAAATTAATTAAGATTTTTGAAATAATATTTTATACATATTAATTTAGTTTTTAAGATAATGATTATTATCATAACCTATTCGATAAGTTATAGCTTACAACTACCTGAACCTCTCTACAGTTTGGTATTCTGTTGAATACAAATAGCATCTCACTTCTCCGAATATTTTACTTTTTGTCAATAAGTTCATGGTCTTTTTGAATTATAACCGAAACACTCTTGCAATTATATCATGTCGATCATATGGTCTTTGACCGGGAAGTAAGAGCTCTTTTATCTCGTCCTAGCGAGGATTACATGTAAAAGTAATAAAAAGGTCAGGACGACCGTAATGTCTAACGTAGGTCATAGCATCTTGTGTTCTTTCGTGCATGTACCTTGGCCCACCAGTAAAAGTTGACAGGAGTATAACCATTTGGCCTAACTGATTAGCTTCTATGTCTCGTCGTCCAATCGCATCTTTTAAATGAATATAACTATCTGCACGCAATTTGGCTTGGTTGCTTTTGATGTAATTTAGTCTTTCAATTTCAATTTTGGCGTATTCATCTACCAAATATTGACTGAAAAGAGAACGATAATTAACTAAATAGTTGTCTTCCCCTTCTCTGACCATTATTCTATATGAGTAAAAACTTGATGCAGAGACAATTTTTTTAAGCGGTAACTTGGTTTTTGGATCGCGTTGTGGTATATTGATTGCATACCCATCATCCCCCCCCAACAAAACATTAAAGGATACTGCAGTGCGTCGTATGCTCGATGTATCTCACTGATACGGTGAAGTGAGTTACTTCGGTTTTCGAGGATGATGTCTCTTCGATCAAACTGCTGATCTACTAACACTAAAGTAACTTCATTTGCCGTTGGTACATTGTACCTGCCTCTATATTCTTCTGGTGGTTTTTTATCTGCATGTATTACAACTTTAAATGACTCTGAAGGAGGTATTTTATCGATGGTAAATTGTAATGATCAATTGTAAATTATGCGGTGGCATGCCTAGTAAATCCAATGAGTTTAAAAACTCTGTTGGATAATTTACAACTTCAGTAGCATCGCAAACTGTATCTAGATTTGTATGACACCAAGTTTTCTGGTAACAAATTTTGTATCTTGAGATTCAATTCGTTGACCTCCACATTTTTTGCTACTAAAATTGCTCTTTCTGCCAGCCACTCATGATTTGTGTATGGTCTGTGTACACTGGGACATATTTGGTCAATGAGAGCATCTTGCGAATAAATGATTGTGCAGAAATCGTTCGGTAATTTCATACATCCCGTTTCATCTGTAGTAACTTTCCCATCTCCAATATCTAACAATTGTTTTGAGAATCTTTTGCACGCAGCTTTTTTTGATTGAATCGAAATCGAAGTATCGAAATCGTTCGTTATCTATTTCGACTATGAATTGTTGACAAAGCTTATGCATCGTAAAATAACTTAGTCCTGATCGCGTCTAATCATCAACCGATATGCATAATAATTTATTGAACTAACATTCTTATTTGTTTTGGCACCTGTTGTGGGATCTTTTTGTTTAATATTTATGCAATACCCGTCATTTACTACCAAAAATAAAATTAATAGTTTTTAAATAGTTTTTAATAGTTTTTAATAATTTTTTAATAGTTTTATTTAATATAATTCATTTTTAATAGCGCAGTTATCGACCTGGTCAAAAAATATTAAACCAATTTCAACCCTTTAAATTCAAAATTTCGAAAAATTCTTTCTTATCGCACGTCTACATCATAATAGCTATCTGTATGCCAAATTTCAGCCAGATCCGTCTAATGGTTTGAGCTGTGCGTTGATAGCAGTCAATCAGCTTACTGTTTTATATATACAGAAGATTATTATTTATTAAGAACTGATATTTAGAAAGTCATAATAGTTATCAAGTAACCAGTAGCTACTTATTGACAGTAAGTTTTTTTTTATTATTTTAGAAGAAATTATATTCGAAAATATAAATCGTTTCTCAATTATACATATGTATCTAATATGTAACGTACTCTAAAATAGTTATGTCGCTATGGATTAACATTACACAAATTCTGCAAAGAAAAATGTAAAAATAATTTAGATTCTATCACTATTAAATTATGGTTTATTTTTTTTTTAATTTGCTTTTATTCGCACATTACAGTAAAAGAATTTATGGTTATTATGTATATTTTATAATATGTATTAATTATGTAAATTATGTTTTGATATGAACATAGTATTCTAATGATCCGATAAAATAATTTAAACGACAGCAAAAATAAATACAATAATTTATAAATATTGAATTAAAATATAGTGGAAACATTATTTAAAAATTAAAATTAATTTAAAGATTGATTATTCAAAAATTATATTTTTGATACTAGAATTTTCCAACAATTATTAAGCGCAGGATTACTAAAGATAATTGTGTTTTTAATTTATATGAATAGAACCTAAGTAATTTAAATACCGATCAAAATCAGATAGCATTTAATTATGTAACGAGTATTTCAAAATATGTACCGTTGAATATTTTCCACGAGCTATGGTAATTGAGCCATTATAAGAGATACATTTTCAAAGTTATATTCTCCGAATTATATATGAACTTTTCGAGTTTTCATTGAAATAATTACGTTTTCTATGTACACGAGTATTAATTAATATATTAAGCAGTAACCAAAACCACATGTTCGTGTGATACCGTTTAGATATTTACGTAGTAACGTGTATTTTGCATAAAGGGTTCTTACATTCTTCTTACATTAATACACATATGTATGTGTGTATTTGTCTGGATTGAAGATTTCTCAAGTGAAAATAAATGTAAGTCTTTTTATGCGGAAATATGGCATAGTTTATGATAATTTAAAAGGACGAGCGGAGTATAAAACAAAGTAAATTACACAAGAAGTTGAATTATTTAGTTTTTGTATATACGTGGTACGTACTATGGCTAGTAAATAATATGCGTGCAATAGTATTCATAAATAAATGTAGGTACATATCTACATGTTTTTTCGTTCCATAACCATATTCTAAGCATGGGCGTTCTCACGGGTGGTGGGGGGGATATTGGGGATGGATCCCCCCCATGACCTTTTTTTTTAGGTGAAATGGATTTTCACGATTAACTGATAAGAAAATTAAATAAATGAATAATATGCAATTATTGGTGTACAGATAACAGATAACAGATTACAGACCACGGTTACCGTAATCTAATATTATATTGTGATTATATTGATATTTGATATAAACAATAAATAATTAGTCTCACGATACCGTTGATTATACAAGTGATAACATATTTACCAGTGTTTATCAATTGATTTTAGCGATTTGCATAATGTATTGATTTGCATACTGACTTGTAATTTAATTTTTGTTCAAAATAAAACGAAATATTTCAAGCACTATATTAAATTTTTTTCCAAAAAAAAAGTAAGGAAAAATATTGACAAAGAATTTAAACTAATGTTTAAAGGTAAATATATAATTAAATTAAAAATTAAAAAATGTTAATTTTAATTTTTAAATTTAATTAGAAAATGGCTTTAATTTTGGACATCAACATTTCTGTAAAAAAGATTAAACAAACGTCAACAGAATCGTCCAAATCCATTTCCAGGTGTTAATTCAATGAATCCTGAAGACTACTATAAAATTACCATAGCAATACCTTGTATAGATTCTTTTATAATTAATTTAAAAGAAAGATTTCTCAGTCATAAGAATATTTTTGAAGGTCAGTTTCAACCCATTTTAAATTTCATTTTTATATAAAAATATATTATATACTAAATATGTTGTTCAGGTTTTCAGTGCTTATTTTCCGATGAAATTGAATATGATTCATTTGAAGAACTTGTAAAATTTTATCTGGACTCAGACATTCAGATAGTAATTGCTGAATTAAGAATATGGCAGTCAAAACTGAAAGCAGATAATAAAAATCCTAAGGCAGCCATAGATGCTTTACGTCTATGTAGACAATCAATTTTCCCAAATATCCATCAACTGTTAAAAATATTATGTACTATACCAGTATCTACATCTACTCCCGAGAAATCATTTTCATGTATGAAACGATTAAAAACATATTTAAGAAACTCAATGACTGAAGTAAGAAAAACATATTTTATTAATATTATAACTAGTTTATACTTTATATCATATTTTTCATAATTTGATGTCATTCTTAGAATCGTCTTAACGGCTTAACATTGTTGGCCGTCCATAGAGAAATCCCAATTGATGCTAAAGAAGTTCTTGATGTGATGTCTCAAAAATCAAGAAAACTTGATATCATTTTGTAAATTTAAAATTAATAAAACATAATATTAATAAAAAATATTATAATTAATATTAATTAAAAATAAAATATTGTCTAATTTAATGTATGTTGTTTTTATTTAAAAATAAGGGGGTATGGGGGCTTGGCCCCCACGGCTCACCTTTGAATAAATATTCATATCCCCCTCCAATAAAAATTCCTGAGAACGCCTCTGATTCTAAGTGTATTTCAGTATTAATATTTTATCATTTTGATTTTGAGGATTTACAATAGAAACACTTATACTATATTTAAACAATTACTCACCAGTAGTAAACTCTCCCATGACATCCATCTAATTGGTAGTCTGGATTTGGTATCGCTAATGTAATAATCTGAGTCATATTGACTACAGTATAACGCGTGATCGGAAATCTTTAACGAATAGTTTTTGCCTACTAAGCAATTTCTTGCAGCCAAATCCCTGTGAACGATTCCTTTACCTTCTAAATGTTTCATGCCTGATGCAATCTGAGTAGCAAAGTACAGCAAGCAACCATAACTACAAGAAAAAAAAAAGAAAAAAGTTATTTGTGATTGTAACAACGTCATAAGCATTGTTGTTTTGAGCAATTACGATAAAAGAACCGTGCAGATAAAATCATTGGCGATTATATCAGCGAATTAGGTGAAAAAAAAGGTCAATTTCTCTTATAAATTTTTGATTAATAATTTATGTATTTTAAATATAATTAATATTAATATTAAACGAACTCGTACTAATGAGATAGCACTAAAAAATTACATATAAATTTATTAGTTATTTTTGTTCAAGTGTAATTGGCCCTTTTCAACAAGTAAATAATACATAGTAACGTTATAAGTAAAAAGGCTTATAATTATCCGTTTAAAACAACGTATTTTACGTTTGTTATTAATTTGAATTAGGGTAACACTCGATTTGAAATTTAGGTCAATCTAGTGAATAAATGTATATAATATAAATGTTCTTACTTGATTGTCGGATGAGCTTCCGTGGATTCAGTGGTTTGTAACTTTAGAAAACTCGGTAAGTCACCAAATTCGCAATATTCCTGTATAATACATAAAGGCTCGTCTGGACTACAGACACCCACGATTCGTGCCAAATTGGGATCCCGAACTGTGTATAAATACTTGGTCTCTCTTATTACCTCTTGTCTGAAAAACATGAGATATTCGTTGATCAGGGTCACGATTTAAAACGGTGTCTATAAAATGATTCAATAATTTATAATAATTTTCCTATCTTTCTATCTCTGTTTCTGTAATGAATGTGAAAAATACAAAGTAGACAGGTAAATCTTACACATGACGTATGATAAGACAAAATATGTCATTGGCTTTACCGTCCGGAATGAAATATTATTATTTTGTCAATACTCTTTTCATTGGTGGGTATGTAAGCGAAGTACATACAAAAAAAAATAACAGTACACTTTTTGTTCGCATTGTATGTGGAGGCGCACGCCTGAGAGTGTTTTAAGCATTTATAAATAGGACACGTTTTTTTGGTGCACGCGCATAACATTCAAGGCAGAAAATTGATTTTCGATTCCTGCGCAGGTTGAAAAAATCAGATCTGAGATAAAGGAAAAAACGAAGATAAGTAAAATGAGAGAAAAAAAGAGAACTTTATGTTCGCAAACGAAAATTGTAGTGACGTATTATGAGCGTATAATATAATATATATAACATAATATATATATATATATTTATGTATGTATTTTTTTCACTCACTTGTTTTGTTCGCCGCAGCCGCGCCGAAGCGATTTGACGATCACTTGTCTTTTGTGGAACGTAGACGTGGCATTGTATTCGGGTATCCCATCCGTTTCGCATAAGTGGATCTATATGAAATTGACAGTTGTTTATTAAATATCATCGTACATTCCAATCACGTTTCGCACGTTTCACAGTAAGTTCTGCATCGTGTGCTCCGTGAGATGGGTACAAGGGAAATGGATGGGCTGCACAACACTCACCATTCCGAAATTGCCTTCACCCAGTTTTTCAATCACTCGCAGCCTGTTCCGAGATATCTCGTACAGTGACGTTTGGCTGCATTCTTCCTGTTTGTCTTCCGGCAGCTTCATGCACGTGAATTTACCCGGTGTGAAATGCTGCTCTTTGCGTTCCGTCTAAACAAAGAAAACGTTTCGTTATGTACGAAAATATTGTGTTATAACATGAAAATAATTTTATTTATATAAAAAAAAAGTATTAATGTGTTTCATTGTAACGCACTTTGATTATGTCGATAGCCGCGTAATAGTTGTGCAGGTTGGCTGGCAGTGATTTGTTCAGCTGTTCGGACTGCAAAAGTGGCGGTGGTCTAGTACTGGGTGGGGGTGGTGGGTTCAGAGTGTACATAGACGGGGAGGAGTACTTGACTTCATCCTGCCCGAAACTACCGACACTTGTAAAGTCTAGATAACAGAATGCATAAACAGCGGTTGGTACCAATTATCACAGAAAAATAAACGTATATTTTGTAAAATTGTAGTGGACGTGAAAGGAAAAAATAAATAGTAGAAACCACAGTATGAGCTAAGTCAATAGTAATCGTATTAGTGACAGGAATCCAGTTAAATATATCTGATAAAATACGTTCGTGGTCTTAAAATATAAGTTAGTTAGGGATGTTTCCTATCATCTCCAGCAGGACTCGACCCATTAGAGTGGATGTATTTTAGTCAAGTCATTATTTTAAATAAGTGCTTCTGGTCAAACTTTATCGAAGACATAAAAAAACACCTGTTACAGTTGATGAACTTCTTGAAACAGTGAAAGTTTGACTCGTGTATTTTAGTATACTAATATAATAGCGGATAAAATTAACGCTTAAAGTCCTATATAAGTATGTATGCGTTAATTACTCATATTTATTATCTTATGGTCTAAGAAGAGCTTTATATTTGATTTGATATCTTGTAAAAAATTACGCTCGTACGCACGTTCGTATACTGACAGTTGTATGGAACATAAGGGTATTCTTGTGGCAGCTGTTTCTGAGTTTTTTACGAGGAGGGTGGTAGTTCTGAATTTAACGGTCGATTAGTCGGCATATGTCGGCAAGGCATCCACCTAAACTTCGTTCCGGGGTTCACCTAAGCTAAAGGAGTAATTATTTTTAAATTTTCACTAAAAAGGAAAAATAGAAATGAATTCGTTTCACGTTAAAAATATTTTGAAGCCGCATCTTGTTATTAGATTGTATTCAATATACTGTTAATTTAATACGTCTATAAAGCAATTAAAATTAAAATATAACTGGTTATCACTAACAAAAATTAAGGCTCACTGGTAGTGACTGTCGCTTGAATATTTTACTTTTTAATCGTTCATCAAAGGAAGTGAATTTATATTTCTCATGTTTTGAAAAAAAACAAAAGACATAATGTTATAAAACGCGATCATATACATTTTTAGGCTAACGCATAGGTTTCCAAAGTGTGCGCCGCGGCGCCCTAGTACGCCACGATGTATGTATAAGGGCGCCGCGCCGTCATGAAATAATATCGGGTCTAACATTTTTCTTATGATTAGTCATGCTATGACTTAAAGAAGGGCGCCTTGAAAAAACCTTGGATCAAAAAGGGCGCCTTAAGTCGAAAAAGTTTGGGAAGCACTGGGCTAACGTATTAGTTTAATCATCTAGGTGGATAAGAATAGGATAAGAAAAGATAAATTGGGCATAAGACAATTTGTATATGCATCTAGTGTAAGTATGATTGGGTGGTAGCAAGAAGGGACAGTTCAAAGAAAAACTTAAATTTGACGGTTTTAAAGTTTAACAAACAAACACAATTCATTGCACTACACTTACCCGTGTATTCGCTACTTTTACTGGTGGTCAACGCTGACACGTCTTTCTTAAACAGAAACGTGGTGGGCACGTAGTCGTGGTTTTTGACTGACGGCAGTCGCTTGTAAGGCTCGTGGTACACCGAAGAGTTGTCACTGTCCTCGGACTCGTGGCCGACGTGACCACCGCCAACACCACCACCACTAACTCCGCCACCGATAATGCCACCTGAGCGGCCGTATAGTGATGACGATCCTACGGCGGCCTTGGACATATTCAAATGCTTCATGTTGATCGACTGCTGTTTGGGTGCTCCTAGCGTGGCTTGTTTAAACTGGAGCAGTGCAACTTTTTGTCGACCACGTTTTAGCGCTAGACCAACCACTACACCAGCCACCAGCAGCACGGTCATGGCCAGCGATCCGGTCACTAGGCCAACGTACGTTTGTGTGCTGTTACCAGGACTAGGTCCTGAAAAACGTCATTTTTCATTTTCGAGTGTTATTAATTTTTACCGTTAAAAAAAAAAAATAATATATATATATTTTGTTAACGTCATACACGCTGATATTTTGGATTCAAATAGAACATAAAAAGCACCTATCTTTGATGTTTGATGTCGATAGTACTTCGTACGTTAATAATTTATGTTATAAATATCAAATTCATAAAAAAAATACATTGAAGTTTTAAAGTTTTTCAAATCAAACAAGTTTTTCAACAAATTTTATTATACTTTAACATAAACCAAAATGCAAGTATAAATAAACATATACCAGCTTAGTATATTTTAGGTAAATAAAATATATGAATAAAAAAAATAATGAAAACTAATAAAGCGTGTGTATATGCAATATTAAAACGAAAACGACATTTCAAAACGTTTTATATTAGAAAGAATAAGTACATGTTTCTCTATTATTAGTGGGTATCTCTTGTATAATATTCTTAACTCTAAGTTTGTCTACTCCATAGATGTTTGTTTTTTCATAACAGTGCAAAACTACCTTTATCAATATTATATAAAAAAAAAAAAAAATCACATTTCTGACACAGAATATAATATATTTCATAATCGTTTATTTTAAGAAAGAAAATGTTTATTTAATTAATTTATACAAAACCATAAATACAAAGGGAGTTCTAAGTTAGAACTTCTAACAGACTAATAAAGATAAAGTCGTTACAATATAAACGTAATACGATATCAGAAGCTGATATTCTTAATCAATAAAATGTACAACTTCATCTAATAAAATATTTGAAAACTTCTGTTGTTCGAAGATTTTCAATGTTGGGTGATGTCTGTAAAGAATGGTATCACTGTTATTATTCGAACATAATATTATTGTCGAAATTATTTCGAAGTAAATTATGTGTTTATAATTGTAAATAGAAATAAGGAAAACTATACACTCTACAACTATGAACCATAAATTCCTGTTTGTAAACATAATTTATGATTCCAAAGCAAATTAAAGCCAATAATTAACATATACACGGCTCGTTCAAATCCAATATGTTCAAACTGACATTACCATAACAGTGGGTATGTCTGAGCAATACGCAATAAATATTATTCTGGCTTTCATATGAAATATAGTCGATATACAAAATAATAATTGACTATTTAATTATTGTCAACAATTCTTACATAATATTTTATACCTTTAAAATTTTTAGGCTACAAATATTGGTAAATTATATTTACATATAATCAACAACAGTAAAATGGTAATTCTGTCAACAAAAAACTTTGACAGAAGCAATGATAAATAAAAAATTTAATAGTATTATGATTTATAACTAAATATTATACCATTAAGTATCCCATAAAAAGTGATTTGCGGAAATCTGCTATGTAAGAGTACTATAATATCGACTACAATAACACAATGTCAAATACGCTACGCGATCAATAGTTAGTAATTGCGTAGAATCTTACTCGAGTGATTTATTTTGGACGTTAATACACCTTCAGTTAAATGTCACACGGCACTTTCAATCGAACATCTAATTGTGTATACCTATAAAATATAATATAGTACCTGTGGTGACTTCTTTCCTTGCATGCGTTGTATCGCCACTCTGGCGGAGTTCGTATCCAGTTTCCTTTTGTGTGTAATATTGTGATAACAATCTCTCGGTTATATTAGCGGCCACCAATTCTGTAAACAGCCAATGAATTTAAACGTTAACATTTCATCCATTCTATGGGTTATAAATATTCCTTGTATCCATAACTGCAGGTTAATGAATACGTAGGTACCACAGTCTAGTTTACATATATTACGGTTTATGTTTCACATTAGACTTCAGTGTACCACGGTAAATTTTAATGTCGAGTTTCCCATGGTCATTGTTCAGAAGGACGAGAATTCATGTTTTAATGGAATGTACTCATTAAAGGAGCTTCGGGGCTTAAAAGCGCGCTTGCTATTTGCGCACAAAACACAAACGCACCTGGTCTCGAAACATAAATTTCAAGTTCCGTTATGTGGATAAAAAAAAAATAATAATAATAATAAGAAAAAACTTTTAAGCCTCCCATTTTGAAATGGTATTGACTAATGGATGTCTTAATTAACGCCAAATGTTTCAGTTACTATGGTGGAAACAAGGGACGTAAATAGAGGAGAGTGAAAAGTTTTCAGACGGTAACAACTTTTTTTTTTTTTAAGTCGAATAACGTTTTTGCTCAACTCCATAAATGTCAATGGTCAATATTGATGATGTTTTTGTTCACTTAAGGTTTTGCGGTATATGACTGATTGACGTAAAGTTTGAAATAAAAGTTGCTGTTTTATTTTTAAAATATAAAACTATTAGCGGCCGCCACTTAATACGTTTTACCTTGCACTCAAAAGTCTAAATTGAATTTAAGGCATCCGACCATTAGTTTTGCTATGGTATTAAATAAAGTTGATATGTTTTCAGAAGAACAAAGGCAATGAAAAGATGGCTTATTATAATAAAAAATAATAGTGATAAAAAATGTAGGTATTATTTTGTATAAAATTTATATTATTAAGAAAATTTTTAGTACATAAGTAATGGAAGTTAAATAATAATTTATTTATATTATGTTTATAATTTGGTATATACAATAAAAATTATGTGTTCATAATTTCGAAAATGTGAAGAATACGTTGTAATTTTGGAGCCACAAAAGATTCGATAACAATTGATTAAAATTGCAAACAAATACTTTTTAGTTTTTTAGTTTTATTAATTTAAATGCAGGATAGACCTGCAGTTAAAAATAAATTAATGATTTCAAAAGTATTGGTGAAAGTATTTTTTGATAGAAAACTAGTTTCCGTGGCTATAAATATATCTCTTTAAAAATTAATTCTATACAATTTTATTTGCTGGGTATTATTAAATTTGAAATTAAAAACGTTGGTGTATAGTGGTTTAATATACGAGTAGATGCAAATAGATCAAGAGGGTAATATCGTACTGCGTATATGGAATTAGAAATGTTTTAACGTATAGAAATGACTGATGCAACCAAAGTTTTGTGGCTTTTGTTGTAATTCATACGCAGCTGTTTTAAATTTAAAGGTAATGTCTGAAATCGCAACATTACATGAATTGAACTCGGCTTTATCGTCTTTTTTCCGAAGACATTAGATTTTGATAAGAAACGATCATATTATGCAACAAACATATAGTATTATATATAAATATATATATTTCATGTAACGAAGACAAAAAATCCTTTTGTACGTTTTAGGAATATAACGAGAACTGAACTAAATGAATTACTCGTATAAACAGCGAATATGCAACACATGATCTTTAAATGCCCTCCAGAAATAATTACACCGTTTAACATGTATTGTGATGATATTTTATACAGCCTCTGGGCATGGCTGCAGGTCTAAAGGTTAGGTTAGGTTAATATAGTTAGCATATTAACTGTATCAATTTCTGATTGACCGCATACGAGTGAATGAGATTTGGCACGGGTAAAGGTAAACGATAATTATGGAAACAGTAGAAAAAATGAAATTTAACGTACAAGCGTTGTTCGGAGCGTCGCGTCATTCTTAATGTTAAATGGTGTATGTTTTGATGCGGAAAAGGTCTAATAATTATTTTGAATCGGTGAAATTATTATATACTATAGATTCGATTAGGATTTTTCTTACATACGTATAAACATCAGATTCTGCGGATTGGCAGCGTATCATTTTAGATGTACGTTTTTCAATGTGCATTGATTCAGCAAAGTCCTTTGAAATTGGATTCCTTTAGGACTACATAAAAACCCACTATGATGGCTGTGAAGAATTTCTATTCATCGAAGGGTTTTCTGGGCTTTTGTGTTCTGACGTGGTGGTCATGTAATAGAAAAGTTCATTTTGAATAATATTCAACTACGGTAAGAATTTCGGGTGTACAAAAACTGTACCTTTAACGTTCGGTTTTTGTTAAAATGAATTAATTATTTCAAAACAAGGTTTTACAAAAACGTTTATTATACGAGGATAAAGACGTAAGTGTGCGTATTTTGCAGTATTTATTTTGTGTATAATATTTACTTATGTGTGAGTCAAAAGACTGCGATTAATTAATATAAACAACCCTGGCGCTAGAGGTATTCTAAAGCCGGTCCCACACGATTCGTGTACTCGGCGAATAATCGTCAATCGTGATGCTTTACAAGTCGTGTAGGAGGTGTTTAATCGTCAAGTAAGACGATTATTTTTACTCGCCGAGTCACTCGCGGTTTCCCGTCGATGTCGGATACAACACCAGTGACTCGTGCTGATAAGAAATTTAATTTTGGATTTTCTCCCAAAATAGACTATTATTTATTGTTAATATCACACGAGTTTATAACACGAGTCGTGTAAGAACATTGGCGATGACGAGAGCAAAGTATATACAATTGACGAACAATCGGAGAGCACACGTGACGTGTAGGAGCAGAATAATTACAAACATCGTACATCGTACAAACTTGGCAAGTACACTCGCCGAGTATACGCTCGCAAAGTACACGAGTCATGTGGGACCAGCTTAACATTTTTAAATACGGTTCAAACATTTAATTTAAAATCGATTGTTTATGATAACGTGAGACTAATTCACATTTTTATTTCGAATAGGTAGTGTTTATAGGTGTTATAAGAGTGGCGTATTCTAACAGTTGTCGGTGAACAATCTAAATATATATACTATAGGTACCATTGAAATCATACTCCTTAGACATGTAAATGTAAAAAAAAAAATAACAGTCTTTGATTTATTTATTTTTACTATGGAGAAAGCTACTATAAGGGTGACTTCACGACTATATGTCCCAAAACGTCTCGTATGGAAATAATAGTAAATGTATCTCTTGCGTGCGCGATGTTATTGCGAGAGAAAAATGCGGATTGTTATCCCCGTTGTTGTTGATGTGTGACGTGTACCAGGAGAAGCGTCGTCGTCACCACCACGTATACATACCCACATATATATATATATATATAAATCGTAATATCTTTCAGCATTTACCGATTGCGATCAACCGGAAATTTAAATCCTACCAATATAGGACATCAGCGAGTAGGGAGGGGAATGAATACAAGCCGTAGTGAATTTTTTATTATTTTTTTTGTTATTCTTCTACGAATAAATCGTTATCAAGTATTATTTTGTGGAAAACAGAAGACATGCAGTGTAAATTTATAGAATTTCGAAGTCAATCATCAACGATAGTACCGTATAGTCAGCTGCAGATTAGGATCAAACATGACTTTTCGGCAAATTAAGATAAATAAAAGATTGGCGACAGGGATACATACAGATATACCTATACTTATTTAAACTATTATGTACACTCGTTTTGATCGGACATGAATTTTACGAAAAAATAAACGTGGACGTTGCAGAACCATCACGCAGTCGGAGCGTGTATACTATAATAATATCCACACGACGAAAACCGTGTAAAATATTTTGTTTGCCTCATATTCGAAATGTATACGTAAACTGCACGTATCTACACGTTTTGTTTGCCTTCGTAATGTTGCGAATTGTTAGGGAATTTACTGCTGCCCCTATGTTTACCGTTCGTATATATACGGCAGAAAGGTGAAACATCTCGGTGCAGAGTATTGTTTATTCAACAAAACGGGCGTGGCATAAATAAACATTACATAATTTATTTTATATTTATTCACATGTGATTGAACTTTAGATTTGACAAAGCGATAATAGTATTGCAAGATTTTCTCACGAGTTCTGTAAAAGCAAGCTATCATTAGCACGATGAGACGATTGACATCGTGGAAAGATAGGCAGGTAATTTACCAGAAACTAATTGTTAAGAAAACAGTGTATTTATAAAATCAGTGACCTTGAACAAGATAGTAGATTAAAAAATTTGAGGAAAATAAGCATTCTACTAATCTTAGACATTATTTAAAGGCTACAAACATGAATTGATGAACACGAAGATTGTGATTACAAGGACAAAAAATATTTGTAAGATCGTTGTATTTTTTCTACGCGTTCTAGATTATAAACATCAATTTTGATGAAAAATAATTCCTTCAAAGAATTATTCTATAGTTAAGTTTATCATGGACTAAAAAAACGCAATAAAGGATTTTTAACGGTACAGAAAGTTTGGGCATTAACTGGATTTTAAAATTTAAATTTTTGGTTTGATTTATTCATTTTTGAATTATTTTCTTTCAGAAGTTTCTAAAGCATTCATCTATTGTTTATATGTGACCTAGAGTTAATGGAATAATAAAAGTAAAACTTAATAAAGAATCTTAAATAATTTGAAATGTTTGATAACTAAAGAATTTCCAGGAATTATTTGTAACACTTATGATTTTTTTTTCGTTAATCAAAAGTGGGCGCTCTATAAACTTCATGATCTTAAATTTACTATACATTATTATAGATACTAGTATAACCAATCCGGATATCTACATAATATAACGTTTATAGCATTATATGTATTATAACTACAAGGTAAAATATGAATTACTATTTGAATAAAAAGTAGATTTTTGATGTATACGTATTTTAGTAATATAAAACATTTGTTTTTAAGCATAAATTCACTGTAATTTTTTTCATCTACAGGAACAAACATAACCAAAATGCAAGTGCTTTTAACCCTCTTGAATTTCGAAGTACCTAGGTTTTTTTTTTTGTAATACGAAAAGAATTATTATGATATTATCCGCCTGGAATATTACTTACCGGACTCAAACGAGACCTCACTGATGAGTATCCATCGAGCAGAAAAATAGAGACATATCTTGATATACCGACCCACCCGACTCTTCAGATTGATGGTTATGTTTACAGCGGTGTCCTTAATGGCCTCCGACTTTGTGCTCAACTTTATCGGCCATTCTTGCCATTTGTCCCCGTCCAAGCTGACGTAAATCAACGCCATGCTAAACACCTGAAAGGGCGAAAAAATATATGTGAAGTTAAAAAAAAAACAATTCTTTATATTAAATGCATGTTTACACATATACTCAATATTGTTTGTGTCTGTAGAGAAGAATATTATACCAAAATACAACCTTATTGTTATCTCAAAAATTATAATTTCGTATATAATAAGCAAATATGAACAAATCAAAAATATTTGAATCAGTGATGTAGCCAGAAATGGGAGTGGGTAATGGGCTATAACTCCCCTCTGCTTCTATGATTTGTTGACATGTATCTTTAATTTTATAAAATATATAATAATTTTAAGACTGGTTTAATTTGGCATAGTTATACATCCATCGTGACATTATTATCAAGACTAAGATTTTGTGTTAAAAGAACTGGATAAGCATTCAAAAAGATTAAATATTGATTTTTAAATATAAAGTAACTTTTATGTATATGTATCTAACTATATATATTTTTTTAGTCTGGGTAAATTCAGTTCCAATAAAATAAATAATAACACATTTTATATTTTAACTTATGTTCAATCGAGTAATTAAAATTTAAAATTTGGTACTTTTGTTGAATATAATTAAAAAATTTAAACCCCCAAAAATATTTTTTTTTTTGCTACACCACTGATTTGAATAGTCATAGACTTGTATATTTCGTTGTATTGCGACAAAATAGAAATTGTATGATATCTGATTAATAATAAGAAAATTAATTATTTCAATAGTTATTCAAAGTTTATTTGATTTTAAAATATGTTTGAATATTTTTATAAATTTATAATGTCATAATGGATTTTATATATTACGAATTACTCGGAAAGTAATGGATAAATTAATTAACTTAAATCAAAATCAGTTATAATTAATTTCATATTTATTTAGAACTTTTATTTTCTGCACAACCAATAATAAACCAGTTGCCTTATTTTTGTTTTCTAAGAAAAATATTACTATATTTTATTTGTTAGTAAATATATTTTGAAAAGTAATTGAAATATTAATATTACAAACAATGTCGTAATTCTAATGTTTGTATGATGTATTAGTCTTTATGAAGTAAAATTTACTAATTTTTTAATATAGAGTAGTTTTAGAAAATGTATTTTTCTATAGTTGAACTTATGTATAGAAGTTTAATATTAATTTAAATTACAGGATTATCAAACCCCGAAATTGATTGTTCTTCCGGTACATTAATATTTATTACTTGCATAAAAATATCAATTTACACTAAAATTGTATACATTACTCATTTAAATGAAATGTGATCTCAGATTAAGTGGTAGCAGTTATTTTGTCTGTTTTGCGTTATAACTTACATAGCGATAGTAAATAAATGATTTTTATGCTATATAAACAGGCGAAAAACTTTGTTGAAATATTAACAGTATTCCCGAAGGCGTATAAAGAATTATTAGAGAGATGCACACATTAAAAAGAAAAAAAACGAAGATACTAGCCAAGGTGTTCCATTTACTAAATTGAATAGGAAATACAAAGCAAACATATCGGTGAACGTAAGATTTACCACACTTTACGGACCCATTTTTATGTCTTTATTTAATATTGGCCATGAATATATTAAAATATAGTTAAATTGCGAATACTGTAGTGATCTTGTGTACTAAACCAAAACACTGAGCTCTCGTGCAGAATACAATAAAATAAATTGTATTTTTAACAGTAGTTACACATTTTTTCATCAAGTCAGTGGTAAATTGATCCAGATGAATAAATAATACAATGATATATATTTGAAAATAGTTTCATCACGACTTTATAAACTCTGAAAATAGTATCAAACACGGGATGGTGAATGATGGTTAACTGGGATGATTAACGTTTATTAAAAGGGTCAAGAAACCAATCAATCGATGAACGTGCATAGAGAATACGACGTTTGCTTTTCCTATGTATATTATTCTGATAAAACATGGTAGTTCGGTTTTCGTATTTGTAATGATAAAAAAATAATAATATAACGTAATAAATAGAGAGTAAAAATTACTATTTTTTTTCACAGCATATCTATTTCGGTTAGGGCTCTAAAAGGTTATAATCTATAAAGGTATATATCAAAATGAACGTATGTTGGTACTTTAAGAAATGTTGTAATAGGAATATATATATATAATATAATAGAATATATATATTTATAAATACAACGTACTAGGGACTATATCTAAAAATTGTAGATAATGGCTTTGTATTTTTTAAATGACCAAAGTAATATTTAATAATGACGATAAAGTAATGCGTGAATTCGTATTCCGCGTAAACGGGTCATCATGATGATATTAACTAAAATATTTCAGTTGGATTGAAAACTCATTTCTATTCGAATGAAAAACAGTTTAACAATCGAGGAAATTATCATCGTTGAATAGAAATACATCCAATAATATACGCATTATCTATTAGTTATGTATATGGTATAGTACCCGTTGTGTTTTGGATGTTCATATAATTATGTATCATTGCGATCATTGGATTAATATTGACCGATTCGTTATAAAAGCTGTTGTTAACACATCGAATGATATAAACAATGAGATAACACATCGTTATACAATATAGTATGTCTATAGTGTACTTTCAAATTAAAATTCATATATCAAACATTGCGTTATTCAGAACGCTCAGAAGTTTTAACTGTACAAAATAAATGAATTGATTGAATACTTGGAAAGTACGCATAATTTCTACGTACAGGACAATGATGAATTCAATCTCATACTTAAAAATATAATACTTGCTTATAAATGGTATTTATGTTTTTTTGGAAGTAACAAAGTGACAAGAACATAAGTCACAATTACAATTATGTATAGTCAATTACTTCTATATTTAATTATTATCGTATCATTTATAATTTTAATTGTTTGAAATTTAACCAGCTAAATCAAGATCGACTACATTATACTAAAATACCATTCATGTATCTGCACTATAATATCTAAACTTATTAATATATTGACATTGGCTAATAATTAAAATACAAATAATTATTTGTATTTTAATCATTAGTCAATTCAATCGAGAAATCCTCTTTATATCTATATTTGTCTTATATTTGAAAATATTTGATGCAACAAGTAACTCTGACAAATTTCATAAAAAATTTAATGTAAATCCGTAACTCCTATTACTACACTCTGTATTTTTAAAATTTATTTAATATAGAAGATAAAAAATAATAAAAGATAAAAGTAGAAATAATAAATTATAATAATTACATTTTAAGATGAATTTTTTTTAAATTTTCGATTTAATATTTTTCAAATGCAAATTTTATTCGAAATTTATAGAAAATAAAATATGACAGTTATCTGCCGGGTATTCATAATTGATGTTGTTAAGATATATTTCTAATAAAATACCAATGGGATTACTAGTCATGTAATTAGTGTAATCTAAAAATTAGCAAAGGCACGAGAAAACGATTCAACGAAAGTTTAAATAGTAATTAAACGATAGGTTAATCTGTTTTACTTGATAATATATGAACTGAAGATTTCAAATCGAGATGACTAGGATCAGAGGAGTACAAACCATTATCGCTAGAACGTTAGTTTTATATTATATAGATATCTAAAGTCAAGCGAAGTTCCTAACTTAATGTACTAAATAATAAACAGTGTATATTGCAAGCTGATCTCATAAATAAGTATTTAACTTCAATAAATTTGCATTTATTTTATTTTTAAGTGCTATTTTTAAGTTCTTAAAACTACAAAATGCAATATAATCACTTGGGTACATTATAATAATGAAATTAAAATTTTTTTTTTTTAGATCTTTTTGGATCTTTGTTTGAAGCTTATTTAAAATTGAACCTTCTAATAATATTTTTCAATAACAATATTTCAATTTTTAAATCAAGAATACATTTTAAAATAATATTTTTCATTTGTAGTGTACAGAAATCTTAACTTTATAACACCTTATATTCATATTATAATACATATAATTGCAGAGTAATTCATAATAATAAATAATGCATTTTTATTTAAATTCTGATTTTAAAAATAGATATAAACTAAGTACTATATTTTCTAATGCGTGATATTTTTTTTCTTTTGAGAAGTATCCTCTTTAAAAGTATCAAAATTTGTAATTCAAATGTTAACACTTTTCTTTTTTTACGCAAATAATTACTCTGTTAATATATCCGCAGTAATTGATGTTACATTGATGTTACATTTAGATCATATGAATTATTTAAAATTTTAAATTTTTTATGAAAACTGATAAGTCTATTTAATAAATAAATAAAATTAAAAAAAATATTAAATGAATAATATTATATATATATATATTGTTATAATTTTAATATTATACATTATTAAATAATTAAATGACATATTTATTACATTAATTTGTATGATTAATTCATAGATATTTTCGTTTATTGGAATAATTGTCGACATTTCACTGTACATTTAAACGTCATATTAATGCGTGCGCGCGCGCGTACACACACACGCACACACACACAATACAGCGCTACAGTATTAACACTAACTGGGAGTGCTTCAGAGTAGGGTATAACGGCACGCACAATAACGCTCATTATTACTAGTGAGTTTTCACGACCTCTCTCCAAGAGAGCTGCTGCCACCGCAACGACAAGAATGAGCTCAACCACTTGCAGCGACACCATTCTTAAAAAAGGGTGCGTGAAAAACAATACGCACACATATATTTATATGTATAGTGTATTAAACACTGAATGACCTTTTTGGCGAACAAACGCAAAAGGAAATTATCTAATTTCAGATCGAACGACTTTTGAGAGGTAATAATGAAAAAATAAAATTCCGTGTACGGTGCGTGTATCATTATAGTTCGTATTGTACTAGAGTTTATATCAGACTCGTTGAAAATCACAATAGGTACTATAAAATACTCGTATATATATAATTTTTTCGTGGATGAAATTAATTTACGCGTGGCGGATAATATATAATATATATATATATGTAAGTAAATATAATATCATTGTATGATCATTTTGAGGGCGTTATCAATTTTTTAATTTTCTATTTCTATTTTGAGAAACCAATTATATAATGGTCCATTTCTAAAGGTAGCCCATTTGGTCAGCAAAAAGTTTTACTCGAATCCGTTCACAGAGTGCACACTCACACACACGCACACACGCATGTGCACAAGAAAGAATTCTTACATTAAAATGATTGCTTTTACTCAAGAAATTTGACATTTTGTTTATTTGTGATTTGTTAGTTTAGATCTCGGCCACGATTTTCATTAAATTCGTCGTTAATGAATACGAACTTATAGCCTGATTCGAATTAATGGGAGAACTAAATTATAAGTCTGAAATATAATTTTTCTATGGTCTAGTGATTTCGTTTTACGTGGCAGTTTTCATTATGTTTCACTGTATTGTAACAATTAAATTATTTTTTCGAGGGTCCCGGTTTGATAAAATACTAATTAATCGATCAACCAAATAGTAAAATAAATCAACCATAAGTACGTTACTAGTTATCATTATCATTATTCGAGGGAGTTTTCATAGCTTCTCAAAATAAACCTTTTTCGTTTGCTTGTACCACTAAATCATTATATGTATTTTTTTACATACGTATATTATGTGCACTTACTTTGACGTCTCTGGTCGGTATATGACTGGTGTGTATTTTGACTTCTTTGAACATTCGGAATCCGTTGAATTCGAAAACCAAGTCTAACTTATTACCAGTGGAATCGTTCGACCAGCCGACCCATCTTTTACCTATAACAATATACAACCATTGTACATTTATTGTATAATAGACCGAAACATTTCATAGGACGATCACTAAAAGCATCTAAGGGTCCGTAAAAAATGTGATAAAGGTATAAAAGTATAAATTTATGTATACAAGTTTTCGTGCTCGGATATATGTGGATGCATTATACAGACCACGATAGAAATAACGATTGCTCGTTTCAAAAATACCTTAGCTACACACGAATCCAAGTGGTTGAACTGGCGTATGTTTACCACGAGTAATATAACAATAATAATAATAATATGATGCGCATATGATGTTGGACGCTGAATAAAGTTATGGAAACTAAAGCAGGCCCGTAGCCACGGGAGGGAAAAAGGGGGCGTTGCCCCCCCCCCCAGCCCTGATTGTTGCCCCCCCCCAACAAAAGTTAATAATGTCATGATATTTGGTAGTTAGCATGACTGTACACAGTAGGTTTTTACTATCTACAGCCGTGGTAGTTAGATATAATATAATTTGTTGCTTGATAATAATTTCATCGGCAGCAGAAGCACTGTTTAATATAAGAAATTATTTTTACCAATATGGTATAGCATTTGCACTGGAAAATACAATGGCATCTGATTGATGTCTGACGACAACGCCGAACAATAACTATAACATATCGAACCGATAACATTCACCATTTCATTAGATCCTAAAATCCTAAATTTGGATGTATTATTAATGGAAATCAACAAGCAAAAAGATAGAAAATCACAACTGTTTTAGTTAAAAAAAAACTGGTAAATTCCAAAAATAATATATTATAAAAATATTCAAAATGTAATTATGTTCACTTTATTCTAATTCTTATTATTTTAATTTAAAGTACCTATTATAAAAATTACAATAGTATTAATAAATTAAAAATAGCATTAATATTGATTTTTTTATAATGCCCCCCTACAATTTTGTTTGCCCCACCTGAAGATTTGGCCTGGCTACGGGCCTGAACTAAAGACTGCACAAAATTCTCGTATGGAAAAACAGTATCAATTTTATATGCTAGTAGTTACTCGTAATTCAAATTGAAAACCAAAAGTATTACGTTTCCAAACCGAACAAGATTCAATTATTTATTCCGTCTCACATTTGACACATTTTTTAAGTGCACTGCTGTAAGAAAAAAAAAATGGACAATTGTTAAAGAAAAAATAAATCAATAATATAAAACGAGAAAATGCGTTTCAACAAATATTTAACAGAACAAATTATTAAATTTTCGTATGCCAAGTTAATTGTAATATTAATAATAATAAAGCAATAAAATATTCTAGATTTTTTTTTTTTTTTATTTATATAAAGGTTTCAATTACAAAGATTATTAGCCTATAATTACAAAATGATAGTTTTATAATATAAAAGATGATATTATTTTATTATTATAGGAATACAATGTGAAACATTATAATATTTAAAGTTTTTTATCTAAATTTTTTGAAAAATTTAAAATTGTTGCCGGAATAATGTTGACTGAGGGCTTCTTCGAGTGATCTTGGATTATTGAGAAGAAAACGCGAGGTTGAAAATTTGGGGCACTCCATAACAATGTGTGCCATTAAGGTGCTATTGTAAGGGAAGTATTACATGTGTCACACAAGGGGGGAGGGTTTGCTTAATTATCAGATATGAGTGAGCGATATGGGAATGGCCTATTCTGGATCTGTTTATGATTATCTGTTCTCTCCTTGATGCATTCTCTGGATATGCCCATTTGGATACAGTTTTTTTTATGTTTCTGAGTTTGTTTGCTGGAGGGAATTGAATCCTAGTTGTTTTGCCATATTTTTATAATCCATTTATGGGCTTCATTCGTGAGATCTTTAATTGGTAATTTATTTATGATGGTAGAGGTTGATGATGTAACCGCTTCATTCGCCATTTTATCAGCTTTTTCATTCCCGGGAATACCTATGTGGGATGGGACCCACATAAGTTTAAAAAATATTCTAGATTAATGATTATTAAAAGTATTCATAAAATCGAACAATTACATAAAATTTAAATTTTATCGTCCATTTAATGAAAACGCATTGAACAGTATACAAAAACACATTTTACTTTTTAAATAGTCTATACTTACAAATTATTTTATAAGTATATTATATAAGTAACTGTTTATATAAAAAATTAAAATGACACTATAAAAATAATTGTATATCATTTTGAGTACAATTTAATGAATAATTATAAAATCATTTGGTTTCACAATTTTATGTAAAATTAAAGTTTAGTAGTTTAAAAGTATAACGATCCAAATTATAGTATAAGTATTATCATCAAAAGAATAGCACAAATTACATAAAATAGTAGTAACTAATCGTAAGTTAGCTTTGCTTATATATTGTTTGATAATTATATATTTGAAGTTGACTAAAAATTATCAATTCAACTTTTACTGAATCATTATTGTTGTTTTAAACAATCGTTTTCTTGGTATCTTGACAGTTGAGCACGAGGTAATTGAGCACAAATATTGAGTGCAAGGAAAATCAAGCGTGAAACTTTTGGGTGCAATGAAATAACAATAAAAAACAATAAAAATATAAATTACAAGGTAACTAATCCGATAATTCATTGATTCGGATCAGGTTTGTTTTCATTATAATAAGTTAACATGTGTCAATTTTTATAGGTATAAATGTACGCTGTACATACATACACATTTTATGGTCATTTATAAGTCTTTGTAAAATAAATTATTGTATAAATTATAAAGCATAAGAGTCATTAAATATAATGAAAATTCATCAGTTAATAACCGAAAATGAGCGAAAAAAAAAAGAATAAGGATTCAGCAATGATAATAAATTTATTAATATGTGAACAATTTAATAATAGGTGGACAGAAAAATATTTGAAAAGAATTACTCAAAATATTTAATATTTAAATTATAAATATTATTTTATTATTCAATTTTAAAACAATGCTTAATATTTACTGTACTGACGGAATTTTATAGTTATTATTTAACCAAATTAAATTGTTTAAATTAAAGTATTATAATTAATTGTTCTTAAGTTTTTTTTTTACCTTTATACAATGTTTTTTATATGTTATTGTATTACTATGCTCAAAAATCTCGTGCTTAACTTTTTTTTATGCTCAATTTTTATAGATCCAATTTTCTTGATCGATTTGCATTAAAACTTGGGTTAATATTTGTAATACATTTTTCGTAATCATATATTAAAATAAAAAGATATAAAATTTACAAATTGAAATGTTAAGTCGTTAATCAATCTCCCAATTGGTTTTAAATACCAGTAAAGAAGTGTTTTTTTTTCTGTATTTAAACAATTCCTAACATAATTATTAGGTAAGTTAGTAGAGTAACTTTTTCTGTAACTAATACTAAATAAGTTTAAAATTATAATTTTAAAAACAGTAATCGTGTCATCCAATCTCAATTGTGAGAAAAATACGTGCGCTTTCGTATTCGACAATTTATAACGTTTCATCAATGTATTATTTTTTTTTCGAAACGCTCACTTTTTATTGTCAAAATATTATACTGTAAATCGTTTTCGAGATTTATATACTCAGTGTATACGATGAATTACCTTATTTTCAATGAATATTTGCCAAATTGAAGTATAAATATATAGGATATAGGTTCATACAGCATACGTGAAAACGATCTCATATGATATATTGTATTCTATATGGCCTCGGTGGAACCTATATTTTTTTCCCTTTACTTCGACAGCACAACGGATCTTTGCCGACGACCCAATTATCCTAAATGCCGGTGGCACCGGTATGTCGACTTTTTTATGTTCGACGTCACGGATGTGTTCATAAAAATAATAATAATATATTATGTGTTAACTGTGCACATATGAGATATGAGCTTCGACACATACACGCCGCTGTGTGCACGTACTATATCACAGATACAGGTGTTGATATCAAAATACTTTTAGTAATGACAATGAAAAATTGATAATTTTGTTATTATATTAGGGGTCATTTTTGAATAATTAATCAAATATTTAACAGTGATGCAGCAAAAGTTAAACTCAGAGGATCGACATCTTTTGATGAATATAAAATTGCAAATGATTAACTTCATACAATAACGATTTCATTTTAATAGTTTAGAAAAAAATCGAGTTCGAACCTTTATAAATAATAGTGTATCGTACCTAATATTATATTAATTCATGATGAATTCATAGTTAAAAATATAACATCATTTATGATGTTTTTCAGTTACTAACGATCAAAATAAAGGTGTAGTTTTACAATTAGAAATACTCTCCGAAAGTAATGCTTTGGAGGACATAACTCATAGCTTTCACCGATCCTAAACATACATACATACGGTGATGTGAGAAATAATAATTTGGTGGTGGTCGTCTACCGGCTTTGGTCGTTATGTGGTAACCGCCTGTCTCTTGATTTATCGGAGTCGGGTGCCTGTCGGGTAGTTGTAGTATAGCAATTTTTGCAGTCTCTCGTGTATAGCGAAATTCGCTTGCTTCATGGTCTTCCTGCAGTCGAGCTAATAAGATTTAACTGCGAATCTCGCCTCCGCGACGCAGAACATTTCTCCGAGTAACTTTTTGTGAAAACCAAACAACGGCGGCGGCAGCGACCCCCCACGCGAGTTCTAATTAATGTAACTTTTCCGAACGAGTGATGTAGCTCCGAGTCATCTCGTGAACTGTGTATATGTATGTAATATTATACGCTATGACGTAATGTATAATATATAATATCGCGCGAAGTCCAGACGGCCGGTTAAAAAAGGGGAGCGAAAATGGGGGCGGCGTGAAACAACGGTTTTAATAGATATTTAGAAGTTCCGCACATAAACACTGGGCGAATATTATAAATGGCTGGTAGTGGTACAGTATAGTTGGTATGAACTATAAATACATAATACGTATACAATATACGTGCGCCGATTTTAATAGTAATGATTTATAACACTCCATGCATAATTCTCCATTATTTTTGTAATATAACACACACATGTACGCATATGTATTTATGTAAATAATAATTCTATATAAGAGATAATAATAATAATATAATGGAATGAGTTGCGTACTGCAATGGTAAAAGTAACGAAATTTTCACGCAAACTTTTTCACAACACGTGCGTTGTCGGTAAATATTAAATAACTGCGATGACAAACGCTCGTTATGCTATATCCTACATACAAATATTTCGAAATTAATAAAAAAAGCTTTTTCGTCTTTTTCTTTTTTTCCTATTAAAAACATCCTACGAGAATGTTAGTGAAAATAAATTCAAAGATTTTTGGCTTTCCATTACCTACACTCATCCCGTTAGACGGTGTAAAAGCAATATTTTTTACGATTCAAGTTTTCAGATGGGCTTAGACTATTTTTTGGACGGTATATTAACTTACTGAGAGGCTTATGGAATTGCAAATCAAACTGCAAAAAATCATCGGCTCCATACAAGCTATCTGTTAGCATTCCCAGACCACCTGTCATGAATGATCGTCCCAAGTCTCCATCGTAACTGACGTCTTCAAATTCGGTGTCAGCTCTGGGCGCGATGTAGTTCACTACGCTCTCTGAAAAATAATAAACACAGAATAAAAAATTAATTTCTGATTATAATATTACCATCAAACGAGTTCAGCAATACGTTCTGCATAGTTAAACCACGGGAGTTTTGTCGGTTTATTTTATTTTAATTTTATTTGGGGCCGAAAAATTGTATTACACCCTTAAATAGGGTGGTACTCCTTTCGCCCAAAAATGACCTTCCTCTTTTTGCCCACGTCTTCTTTTCGACCAAAAATGAAAAAACAGTTTCCTCTTTTCGCCCATGGTTTCACGTTTTAAATCTTGGAAACCACTGTCTCAAAATTAATAATATTTAAAAAAATCATATAATAATCAAATAAAAAAATAGAAAAATATATAATTATTAATAATAATTTAATAAGTGTTAAAAATAAGTATTTAAAATAGTGTTATCGATGTAAAATAACTAATAAGTAATTTGATCAGGTTACTACTTAAATAAATAGTTTGTTTTGTTGTTGTAAAATAATACAAATATTCATATTAATTATGACCTTTAAGTAATTATAACGTTTATTAAAGTGTTTTAAACTATATATTTCGATAGAAGAGTCAGTACCTTTATACACTTTTCTCGACTGACTATATTAATAACAATCAAAAACGTGATTTTATCGAATATCATATATGATTTTTTAAAAATTATTAATTTTGAGAAAGTGGTTTCCAAAATGTAAAACGTGAAACCATGGGCGAAAAGAATACAATTATTTTTTGGCGAAAAGAGGAAACTGTTTTTTCATTTTTGGTCGAAAAGAGAACGTGGGCAAAATGAGGAAGGTCATTTTTGGGTGAAAAGAGTTCCGCCCCTTAAATACAATCATGATTACGGCAGAGGTGTACTTTGAGTTTTAACCTCAAAATTTATCTACTACGCGCGTAGGTACCGCTCTGTATACAAGCTTTACACGTATGAAAGCTGCCGTTCTCACGGGTAGCGGTGAACTTTTATTCATAATAGAGTGTCAGCGGGAGCAAAAGTTCGGTGCATTTAATGGGCAACAAGCCTGCAAACCCCGTCTACCCGATCCCTTTATCAACGGCTCGGCTTCGTCGACAGACGAACGGGGCCGATGTATTTGTATCGCAGCAAAACATAAGCTCCGGATTTCCGCTCGGTGAACATTAAGCAAAACAAACTTCTACGATACTCCGACTGGTTTAGCATTTGTAAACGGCACGTTTCAATGGAGTGTCTAATAATGCAATGGCGATGAGACGAGTTAATACAACGACGCGGGTACACTCTGTTTCCCTAATCCAACCGGAACCTAAAGGCTAAAATAGAAACACCGATGCCTCCCGAGGGAGATTATATGTACGGCTTGATACATGTAGGTTATAACACGCGCGCGTGTGGTGACGGTGAATTCCCACTGACGTTTATTCACGTGTGCGCATGTGCGCGCATGTGTGTGTGTGTGTGTGTGTGTGTGTGTTCGCTTCTCAAAAAACACTGTTTTCGTAAATGTGGGTAGACGATCGATCTTAACTCAAAGAATAATATTATCTTAGTTTACTCACTCGGTTGAATAAATTGTGAAGAAAAAGTGATATTTTATTTTTTAAACTCCGTGTTCTACAGCGGGCAACACCGCACTCGAATAAGTGCAAGTAGGTACATTACAGTTTTCAACGATTTCGAATGGAAATGTAAACCTCTATGACAGCATATAACAATAAGATGGCTTCATATGATATACCGCATTTGTTCGAGAAATTAGTACGAGTATATACAGTGTCCTTCGATTGTTATCATTGAAACGATCGCATTGCAATATTATTGGTTTTGCAATGACGCGAGCATACATATAAATTTTATATATAAATAGCACGTAGTATCAAGTTATTACCTAAAATATATTTTATAAATCGAGACGTATATTATATTGAATTCGGTCAACATTTGAAAAGTCTGGGATATAACGAAAATGTTACCGGGCTTGAGGTGTAATTTCGTAGCATAACCTAACCCTAATTGCGTAGAGACTTCGTGATCCGAAGACTTTTTTGTGGCTTCAAATTGTGTTATAAATATTTTGAAATCGGATTATGTAATCGGAACTGTATTAAGATGACTGATTTAAGAGAAAATATATATTCCTATTTCTCTTGTTTTGTATGTGTATTTAAAATTATATTTAGACCTAACCTAGCCATTTGTATTTAACATTCAATAGTCTTCTAAGCTAATATAATATTGAAAGCGTTGTAAATTGACTTTTTAAACAATTGTTAATAGTTATGTACCTACAATGATTCAACTTTTCGTAGATTAAAGAAACTTTGAAAGTAGTACTTCGAGACATGGAAAATAATATACGCACATCAAAATTGTGAAACTTGGTCAATTAAATAGTTTTATAGTATAATAACAAATTATTTTGATTATAATTATTGTTTGGCCAGATATTTTTTTGATTTTTTATTTTCTATTATTTTTAATCATTGTTTCCTGAGATTTTAATACAGCACAAAAACTGTTGAATGTACAATATCACGAAAATTGAAGCCAATATGATTTTAACTCAAATAGATTGACGATGTTTTTCTTGAAATTTCGATATTTCAACTGGTAGAAATGCGTGTTCGATTTGTCATGACGAAAATCTTCGAAGGATTACGGTCACTACACGCTGCGGGGTAGATGATAGTGCGGTCTCGTTTTGGAACACAGTATTCAACGTTAAAACAATAATATCAATAATAATAATAATAATAATAAGAGTAATTATATCAATAATTTTTATTCCCCATTTCTACCTCTTCTCTTACAGCGATATAAAAAAGGTCATCGAAAGGGATACATGTCAACAATGGGAAACTCAATGGAACAATATGACCACGAAGCTTAATGCAATTAAAAGATCATACTACCCTGGACTTTTCCTGTCAACACCCCAAGAAAATACGAGACAGCTATTAACCGCCTCAGAATCGGACACACACGTCTTACACACGCACACTTAATGAAGAAAGAGGACCCCCCCATTTGCATATGCTGTGGAGTCCCTCTTACAGTCAAACATATTATCACCGAATGTAACGCACACAATATGGAGAGAATTAAGCAGCAGATATCTTATCACCTGGCAGAATCACTAAGCCCCAAACCTGAAAATATCGTCAGGCTCTGCCAATTCCTCACGGATACGCACCTCATCGGCCTCCTGTGACCAACCTGCACCATCCTATTTGTTTATTTTATGTATTAAGTTAAAAAAAATTGTAACGTCCAATGGCCATAGAAGCCGCGGATATATTATATAATAATAAAAAAAAAAAAAAAAAATATCTATAATTTGTCGAGTTAGCATTCTTTTCGCCCGTACAGCATAACAGTTCACCGTAACAGTGTTTAAGTGATCACGTGTTATTATTATTTCCGCAACAAACTTATGACGCACGCGCACGCGATGGTAGTACAATTGTCCGTGACGACCCAACCAAATTAATCAACTTCAAAGTTTGGTGTGTGGCGAAGAGTGATGCGAGCATATACGTATAGGTACTTGGGCGTTAAGTTGCTACCGAACTTCTCCACACGTTCAACAACCGTATAAGTCTTCGCGCATTAGCCCCAAAGAACCCACCACCACCGCAGCCCGTCACCTGTCCACATTCAGTGAACTTCTCACAAAACTATTCTCTCCCTGCCCTATCCCTATCTCACTCATTATGTTCTACTCTTTATTTCTCCCTCTCACCATCGACCTTATATATCTCTCTCTAATCTACATTCTTCTCTTTCTACTGTTCTATCCATACATCTCTATATTTCATTCCGAGAAAATCTCTCCGTCGAGCTTGGTATACGTACGTACATAACACATAAACACTTTGCACGTTGCAGTGAGTATATGTATGAAAAGTTTGAACACAAAACAAGTATGTTTATCAATCAAGTAACGGATAACTCTATATGGTTTGTTGTCGTGGTTAATTGATGCCACATACTTTGTGCAAGTTGGGTATTGGTTTAAAACAGGATGTTATAGCACCTGTGAAATAGTTTGAAAAAGCTTTAAGTAGTGTTTTAATTAATATTAGATCCGAAAACTTTTGATAATTGGTTCTTACGTACATAGGTATATTTAAATAATAACAAATTTCCTGATATGAGGTAATAAATGAAGCAAATGCAGGTATATTGAAAAGAAGCAGTTTATTTAATGATTATATAAAATGTGTGGGTTAAACAAATGAAAATAGGACAAATAAATAACTTAATTACAAAAATAATTGATTTATATGGCCATAATAGCTTCGTAAATGAAAGGATATTATGTAGAGCCGTGGTTCTCAACCAGTGTGTATTACCATGGTGCGTGTTTTCATATATTTCAATATAAATTTATTAATTTACAAAATTTTGTAATTCTTAAATTTTAAAAATTCATTAATTTTTTCAAGTGTGTCATCATTTATATGTACTTAAATTAAGATGTCGTCATACAAAAATTATTGAGAATAATTGATGTACTTAACTGATCTAACTAAGTAGAGTATGAATATTACAGAAATATAATTGAGAATAAAAGGAAGGATTAATTAATCGGATATTTTGGGACTTGAAAAAAATTAAAGGTACGAAAGCAATTTGAGGACAAGTAATAATAGTTGTTATTAATTTTTATGTAGTTGTTGTATGATTACTATTGTAATCTTTTAATATTTAATTTAATTTGATTTAGATATAAATCTACTTATAGTTTTATACTATTTTTAAACTTGTAAAAAAAGCAAAACAATTCACAAAATTGCAACTGAAACAAAATCGATTTTATTAGTTAAGAAGCTTTAATTCAAATTATAAGATTAGTCATTATTTAATATTAATAAATAAAACATATTGATATTATTCATTGTACGTGTAAAAAGCTGAATTTATAATATTTTTATTTTAAACAAAATTCCAACAATAATGAAATATGACATAATCATTAAAGTTAATTATAATTAACAATATAGTTTACCCAATTCA